TAGAACAGTTAAGATACTAATTATGTTAAGTTGCCTAAACTATCTTTGTGGTAGCTTATCGCATGACTTATCTTTTTTAGAACTACGACTGACACAGCAGACGTCAAACATCTAAACTTGTCACCAAATGGCAAAGCCTTGTCCGAACGTTTCGTTGTCTGTTCTTTCATACTTTTATCTTTATTTCTAAGTTTTCAATATCTTTTTTTTTTTATTTTAAATAAACTATCCTATCTATCAAATTGGGTATACACAAAATAGACTATACGTCAATCAAAATTTCATCAATTTCAACTGCCCATACAAAAATCAGATAAATAAGAAAAAGTGCATGATAATTAAAGGTAACCGAAGAAAGAATGTAAACATATTCAAGGTAAGCTATCATCACCAATATATTAGTGATCGATTCAACGATAAATTCGCTCATTTGCCGAGCACGCCAGTGATATTTTTCAAAACAAAATTCCACATGTACACGTTAAATTATACGTTAATCAAAATATCATCAATTTTGACTGCTCATACAAAAATGAAATAAAAAAGAAAAAAATGCATGATAATTAAAGGTAACCGAAGAAAGAATGTAAACATATTCAAGGTAAGTTATCATCACCTAAATAACAGTGATCGATTCAACGATAAATTCGCTCGTTTGCCGAGCATGTCAGTGATATTTTTCAAAACAAAATTTCACATAGATATGTCGTATCGAAGTTAGCATGTTTATTGAAGTTATTATTTCTATAAATTATTTCATCGAAGTTACAACTTCGATAAAGTGAGGTTACCAAAGTTGTGTGAATGAAATTAAATAGGGAGATTGTTGATTATTTCAATAATATTATTAAGCTTGTTAGGAATAGATCATTTTTCTACTAACAACAAACATTTATTTGATAAAATATTCAACAATCATACACCATTAACAAATATTGAGACTAAACGTTTTTTTTATCTCTTCATTTTTTTTAGTTTTCGTTCAGAAAACAAGAGATAAATCGTAGAAAAGGTGAGGGTAGGTGTGGGTGTAGAATAAATTAAAAATATGGCCCACACCCACACCCTTTACTTAATTAACTTTGCATTCAATGAAACAACGTTTTTAAACTCAGTTTTTTGTGCTGATTACGAATCTGAAGTCATATTTCTGATCTCGATGAACATAAAATGTGTATCTTCTTGATCAGAGATTCGAATTGATAGAAATGTCCCCGATCCTCGAACATTTGTGTCATGGACAAACTTTTTTCGCTGGTGTTTTTCTATTTTGAAGTAATACCTTATACGATGCAAAATTTCAAGAGCTTTCAGAAAATATATAAATCATTTTTGGACAGCATGATCCAGTGTGACTAGGGTCAATATTCTAGAAAATGCTCATTTTAGCCAATAGTCATTTTTGCTCGTATATTGGAATTATCACTTGGTGAATGGTATTGTAAGATATACCGAATTATCCAATTTTGTGGAGAAAACATTTCTGCATCTTTTGAGACGTCTCCGAACTCAAACGAATGTTTAGACGTGAAAAAATTGCAGAATACTTAGAGCACAAAAAAATCGCGACTTTTTAACCAAGTTCAGAGGGGTGTGTCACGTGTGTGCTTTGACATTTTTCACAGAAAAGTCAAAACGAGCTAATATTTTGAATTTGAAGTATTCTAACGATGATCTATCGTTTGAGATAATTAAATCAAAAATCAAAATTTTAGTAGCGGCCGGTCTCATACAAAGTTGGTAGGTCCTCTCGTGAACCCTCTCTTGATAGATTTTATTCATTTTATGATTGAGAAATTCATAATTGTCAATTTCCACAGATAAATATTTGAATTGATTTCATGATAATATGAATTGAAGATCAACTTGGTATGATCGTTTTCATAGTTTAACATCAACTATGATAAATGAAATCAAAGCTTATTATTAAACTTTCACAATGTATTTCAGCGGAATTATGTATGAAAAATCAACAATTATGAATGATAGAAGAAATGCTTCAAATGAATTTTTCACAATTAATCACACAAAATAAAACAATATTAGTTCATAGTAGGTTAATGAAAGAAAAACAAACGAAGAAAATATTTATTCAATGTTTTTTTTAGATGAAGCTTTATTTGAAGTAGCATAGAAACTTTGGACAAGATTCATTTAATGTGAATTAGAAACAACAGATAAAATTTAGCAAGAAATTCTACATGTCGCTTCAGTAATGGGATTCCGGAACTTCGCCAATAAGACTTTTGCCAATAGAACTTTCGCTATTGGCGAAAATCAACTGAACTTTCGCCAATATACTACCTGGGATTTCACCAACTGGCGAAAGTCCATTGTACTTTCGCCAACATACCCCTTGGAATTTTGCCAATTGGCGAAAGTCCACTGCACTTTCGACAATATACCTCCTGGACTTTCGCCAATTTGATTGTGAATTAGATGTGGATTAAAAACTTCGTATCTACTACATTGATGAGTGTAAAGTATGAAACATGTATTCTAACAACATTAACCTTAGCCCTGACATTTATCCTATATTAATATTCTTTCATGGCAGTTGGTGAAAGCCCACTGTACTTTTGCCAATATATCCTCTGGAATTTCGCCAACATACCTTCTGAAATTTCGCCAATTGGTGAAACTACAGTGGACTTTTGCCACTGGCGAATGTCCTGTTGGTCAAAGTCTTATTGGCGAAGTTCTGGTAACCCTCAGTAATCTTTTGAAATTAAAATGAATTTTGAGAGATTTGATGTAATCTAATGATTTTATTCAACGGGTTCAACAATTAACTACTGGTATAAGAGTTGCTTCTGTGATCAAATCATCTTCATCAACTTCGATTAACAAAAGTAAAACGTGAACACGTTAAATTAGATCGATCAGTAATTCTTGTAAAAAGAAATTGTTTTCCACCCAAAAAAAAATTCAATCATTTTTCTTTTTGTTTATGTAAACGATGCTTTATCTTTTGTCTTTGTTCATGTTTTAAATGTTCAAGAAAATCTTGATGATGAGTATCATCGATTAGTACAAGTAGAAAAATCTTAATTTTTTTTTTATTAAAAAATTTTTCTTGTTTCTTCTAAAGAATTCCAAAGTTTTTGTGTGAAGAATGACTTACTATTCAATATGATTTATTACGTGAACGTGGTTTATGGAACTCTCATGAACTTGATTTTATCGAAGAACTAGGGTGTGGGTGTGGGTGTGGATGTGGATGTGGGTGTGGGTGTTAGCGTCAACAGATGACACTATGTCGACGCTAACTTAACTGAACGCCGTTCAATTGGTTTCGTCTTATTTTCTCATTTGCCGATGTCTTCCTTTTCGTTCTGTAGTTAATTGGATTTTTTTCTTTAGAATTTTTTCTGATTTTGATATCGTTCAGTTGCTATTTTGTTTCGATGTAGAGCAGTAGCATTTATTACTACCTCTCCTGTGTGTGTTATTTTGTCTTCGTGAAATAAATTATCCAGTTGAACTGATCTCACATCCCCTCCTTAGCTGATCACGTACCTTTGGCCATCAAGGTAAGACCCCTTTATATTCTATTATAACATCATCACAAACGTTGACCTAACAATTGGTGAAGAAGTTGGGCAAGTTTTTTTTTTAAAAAGAATATCAAGGTCAACAAAATTCATTTCTCTCCTCTTCTCATTTCCTTTTTTTCCCCTTTTCTTTTGCTCTTATATATAAAATATATTTTTTTTCCTCTTCCCTCTCTTCTTTATTTCTTGCTTAAATTTTCATCTGTCTTTTGTGTCGTAAAAGAGAAAATGTCTGACGATAAAATTACAAGTGATTCACCTGAAAATAGAGAAACGTTAGAAGAGTTATCATCCGGTGTAACAAAGAAAGATATAACAGCTACAATGAAATATGATAAAAATCGTAGATTAACTATGAAACCTTTTAGTAATCGACATAAAAAATTTGGTGATAATAAATCATCAGATGAGGGATCATCTTATGGTGAACCTGAAGATGAAGATGCATTTGATGCATTTATTCTAAATAATTTTAGTCCGTTCTCCGGAAATGAGAATGTGATTGAATGGTTAGATATAACTGATGAGAAGTTCAATATTTTCGAAATTTCACGTAATCTTCGATGTCTTGCGATTCCTTTGCTTGTCAAAGGAGATGCTAAACGAACATATATCAATGATAAGAATAAGATAAATACGTATGATGATTTCTATACATTTCTATTGATGGAATATACACCTATCAATCATAATTTTCAACATACAGGGTGTCCCAAAAGTCATGTTCACTTAAGAAAATTGAATATCGCCATTATGATTCGAGCAAACGTGCTGATTTTTTTATCAGTGATAGAAGCATGCGTCAAGTTTATATTCATAAAGACATGTCTAGGGAGACCCTTGGTTAAATATCACTATTGACCTCAATAAGAAAGATGTACTTTTACACAGATAGAAAAAAAAGCAGTATACTTAACGGAGGATTTCTCTCGGCATGTCTTTATGGATATGAAGCCTGAACATGCCTCTATTATTGGTAAAAAAATCAGCTCGTTTGCTCTAGTCGTAATGGAGATATTCAATTTTTATTTTGGCAAACTGATTTTTGAATCACCCTGTATATAGTCCAAAAATCACGATACCAAGAAAAAATTAAATATCTCCGCTACGGCTCGAGCAAACGAGCCGATTTTTTTACCAATAATAGAAGCATGTTCACATTTTAAATCCATGCGGACAAGATTAGAGAGAGCCGTTATAAAGTACCACTAATGACCTCAACAAAATATATTTACTTTTTCGTAGATCGAATAGAAAACAATATACTTAACTTAACAAAGGATCTCTCTAGGCATGTCTTTATGAATATAAAGCTTGAACATGCCTTTATCATTGGTAAAAGAATCAGCTCGTTTGCTCGAGCCGTAGCGGAGATATTCAATTTTTTCGGCAAAATGACTTTTTTTCTAACTGTGAAAAAGTAAATTTTTCTTGTTGAGGTCAATAGTGATACTTAACAAAGGGTCTCCCTAGACATGTCTTTATGGATATAAACTTGGTGCATGTCTTTATCACTGATAAAAAAATCAGCACGTTTGCCCGAGCCGTAATGGAGATATTCAATTTTCTTAAGTGAACATGACTTTTGGGACACCCGGTACAAAATCGTACTGTGATCCACCAACATTAAGTCAGAGTAGTTTAGTCCAGGATGCGTCAATACGAAAGAAGGATGTTTTCGATGAAAATCCAAAAATGACTACTAGTACTTTTGAAGCAAATGATAGTCTACCACAACCTCCAATTTTACGTTCAACTGCATTACTTGATCTAGGAGCCACCAGTTTATCCGGTGATGATCCTGTTAATCGATCAAATGTTGCATCATGCCAGAATATATTTCTTAGTTCTAGTATTCTTGATCAAACAGCTTATGCACTTCGTCGTGGAATTGTTGATAGTCTTATTAAGAATCCAAAAACCTTTCGAGGTGGCAAGGATGATGTTAAACAGTGGATAGAAGATATTGAACAGCTCTTTGAAACAGGGTGGGTGGGTGTGGGTGTGAGTGGGGGAGGGGGTGTGGATGTGGGTGTGAGATGTGGGGAGGGGTGTGGGTCAGTGACGTGCCCAGAGGGGGGGATCGATCCCCCCTGAAGAAATACTAACACCTGGAAGGGGGGGGGGTACGGGCCGAATTAGTTTTGTGTGTCTAAAACCAGTTTCTCTCCACAGTGCCCTCCCCCTGGGAACGATCAATCCCCCCCCTCGGAAAAAATTTCTGGGCACGCCACTGGTGTGGGTGTAGGTCACCTTCTGAGTTAAACTCACTTCCACATCCACACCCCACCCACACCCACACCCACATCCACACACCCACACCCTACACCCACACCCCACACCCACACCCACCCACACCTACACTCATACACCTACACACCCTGTAATTTTCTCCTGTAAAGTGTACGGGGTACACTCTTTAAAATCAAGTGCACAGAAGCATGCATTTCCACAGCTGCAAATGTTTGTACACTCTGCTTGCACTGTCTATACTTGCATTAGCAACACTGCATGAGAAACCTCTGGTGATAACCCGTACATTATCATCACTAGCTTTTACTAACAGAAAGGTGTCTAAATAATGCAAAAAAGGGTGTGGGTGTGGATGTGGGGTTAAATATCTTCCACCGCCGCACCCACAGCCACATCCACCCACACCAGTTCTGCACAATGATTAGTAGTCGAATTTTCAATAAATAATAATTTATTGAACTTTTTTGCGATAGAATTAGGACCACTAACTCCGTCATGTTTCACATATTAATCTGACAGGAACCAGATTAGCAGTTTGTTTTCTATGAACATCTATAGTGTGAAAAGCATTTTGTCAAAGCCTTTCACTGCCTTAAAACGTTCTGGTAATTAGCATACTGATGAAACCAGTTTTGACAATAAAGCTTATTACTTAAGTTGATCTGTATTATTATTCATCATAACTATTCGCCCATAAAAAGAAACGATATAGATGTAAGAGTAGTTTCATATGATTTCTAAGCTATTTTCGAGCGCTGAAGTCTTGAACATTATACAATGCTTTTAAATTTAATATAAAGTCTCTTAAGATCTCGATTTCTGCCGTCTATTGAAGCCTACACTTTTTCATTTTTTTTCATTGTTCCAAAAGTACCGTCACTACTAAATCTAAACGAAATATCATATAAAGAATCAATAACTTATAATCTCATATATGTCATATTACTATTTTTGAGAGGATCATAAGATACTGAGCGACATTTTCGAAGCCATGCTTTTGCATTATGGTTTGTGAAGCTATGGAAATCGAAAAAAAGCTTCTAAGAACATACTCATTCAGGACGACGTATGAATCATAAATCTCCTGTCCGATGAGTTCTCTCTATCATATGTTGCTTGAATAAATCTACAGTAGATATATTTGTTGAGGAATTAGCTAAAAAAAGAATGTAATCTTGTGTGCATTATAATTGAAAGTCAAAACGTTCGGTGGATTCAGTTATGTATCCAAAAAACAAACGTGTTGGACTCATTGAATCCTAAGAGTGGGTGTAGATGTAGATCTTCTCGTCATTCACACCCACACTCTTACAGCAATCTTGTGAATAGATTATATGTTAGAACAAGATATCATTGATATATAAGACTCATTTTAAATTTTTTTTCAAGAAAACATTTACATCAAGATCTTGGCGGAGACACGTTCGATTTTGCAATTTTGGCCATCTGTCAATATTTTATTGACATAATTTAAGATTTCCAGAAAAAGATCGAAATAAGTTAGAAAAATTTTAGTTAACAGATAATGAAATATCTTTTTTTGTGTTTAAAAACTTTTTTAAGCGAAAGAAATTGTCGATTCTTTATCAATCTTACCAAATCTTTCTAATAAATCTATTGCATTGTTTTAGTCTTTTCTCAATCGATGATACATTTTCTGCTTCATCTTGATCAAGCAAACTGTTTCGGTGACTTCGATTTTTCATTTGTCATTTATTTTGGATACTGATGCAAAAATTTTCGAACCGTATTCTATCGAATAATATATAATCGAAAACATGTTGAAAGCTCATCATACCGCATACATATTTTATATGTCATTGTTTGTTTATGAGGAAAATTAATTTTGAAATTTCCACAAAAAGATCAGTGAATTATCTACTTATTATTTCAAGAATGAAACGTCAATCAAAAGGAAATAATTCGACAGAAAATTTTATCACTGGATTTGTGATTTTTTATGCCATATTGGATGAACTTGAAAAAACCAAAAAAAGCGTTATTTGAGAAAAAAAAAATATTTATTCAATATTTTTCTCATCGTTTCTATTAAATAATAAAATGAATTGTACAATTAATGATCAGTCATGATATTTTTTTAATTAATATTAGCATTGCGAAATCATTACTTGGACAAACATAATATAAATCAAAAGATAATAAAAATTTTCTTAATAACAGCATAAATTCACCATCATCATCCCGATTATTTGCATTCAACTGAAATCTAGCATTTTTTTGTTAAATATAGAATTTGATAATTGGCCTAAACAGAACAAAATACTTGGAACAAATTTCATCATTTAATTAGTAAAGGACTCTTTGAATAAAAACTACATTTCGATATGTTGAATTAGAACAGAATTTTACCTTACTTATAGATCATGCGAATTGTAAGAGAAGTTTCAAGACTTCGACTCAGAACTGTCAACTCTGAGGAATGATATATTGAGAGTGGCACTAAAACTGACGCTACCTTCGACGAGTTGTAGCTCAAAGTTGGTAGTCCTGGTTTGGCTTATAACAAACATGTAAAAAGAGCTACCCTTACCACAATAATTGTTATCTCGCAAGAGAAGAATAATATACAAAATGAGAATGAATCGAACAAAAATCACTCACATGTGAAATATCGTTTCGAAGGTGTAGGTATGAGCGTGAATGTGGCCCGTGAATTTTGGCATGTTGCTATGGATCCTTGTCCATCATATTTTATTCAACAATTCACATCTGGATCCACAGTTAGATCCTCACCCAAATCGACATGCACACCCATACCCTTTTTCTTCGTATATATATATGAACTGACAGAGGATCCTGTGTTGATTTTCAATTTCCACGCCTAACGAAACATATTGTGTTTGACTACAAATATACATTCATTCTTGTCGTCACCAATTTGTTCTATCTTTCAATTTTATCTTTCAAGAATAAAATAGGTTGCTCTTTCTTTATTCATTGTATTGACTGATAACAAAAAAAAGAAAAAAAAGTGAAAGAGTTTTTCTTCTTTTTCCTTGGTATCTCTTTTATTTTATCTTTTTTTCGAATTTGTCTATTTGCTTTGTGTAAATGCATTCGATACACATATAAAGAATACCATAATGGTCTGCAATGCTATTTTGTGTCTCATGAGGACATTTCGAGGTTTGTATTTTGATATATTTATCCCACTTTATGCATAGACCATAACAGATCATATTTATAGTCTTTAATGGTATAACCTCTTGAAAAATAACCTTTATCAATAAGTGTATGTCGTATTCTAATAGAAATAAAGTGAGCGGCTACGAAAAAACACAGGAGAAAATAGTTTGTACAAATTCGATGATAATGTATAGTACTCAGATTAAACATATTAGCATTGAAATGTGGAGAATGAGTTTACTATGTATAGTCTTCTCTGTATGTTGCTGTTAGATGTTCTAAGCAGTGCTCGGAAATCATGTGATCAATTCGTGGTAGAGGAAAGGAGGGCGAAGCTATTCTGAATACATTATCTTAAATGACACGAAGACGGGGACGGAAATGCAGCTGTTGATGACATGATTAGAATGTATCGAAGCCATAAGCACGAACAAAATTTGTTTGAAAGAAGGACTATTTTACTTGCAATAAATTTCTATTGTAGTGACGGGAAGACGGGAAGGAGTACCGAAAATATCACTTTTGATCACAAGAGCGAGAATGAAGTATCCTCCAAACGAATTCCTGATTCATCTGTTCTAGCTTAATTTTTTCTGAATTCGATCCATGGCGAAAAAAATGGATTCTAGGTTCGGCCTATCCCTAATTTGTCTCTTGTTTGACAACGAGTTCATTTAAGCGAAATGGTTAGGTCTCGTTTCGTCGAAAAAAATTTTTTTCGCGTGTTCCTGTTTCGTCGAAATTTTTTCCTCGACGTTCGTGTTTCGTCAAAAATTGAAGTTCGAATAAAAAGATGCAGAACGTAATTAGCTTATTCGCAATCATTTCATTGTCTCTAATAGACTACTTCGAAAAAATGATTGTGCAGATCTGTCGAAAAAAGTATTGAGAACCTTATAAAAATAGCACGTAGAACAAATCGATTCATTTTACCAATATTGAAAAACAAGGATGTTGAAACTTACAAACACCGAAGCAAGCAAATGTTGAGATGTGACCGATGTTGTGTGTGTAGATAGGCAACAAAAAATGACTGACCCATATCCTCGAACATTTTCGCACTCTCACCTTAACTCCTGTTTTTCCGCAATTTGAAGTTTTGTTGTTTATAATCACTAACTAAATATGTTAATCAAATATTTCGATTTAAAAATAAATGTTTCGTGCTTTTACTGATTAGCTCGTTGAATAGCCTAACGATACAGATTAATTTGTTTTCTTGATGAAACTTAGTCTATTCAAGAGAATCAAAGAAATTAGAATAAGCTACTCATATTCTGCATCTTTTCTTACAATTTTTCTTTTCGACGAAACAAGCACGCTAGAAAAATATTTTTCGACGAAACAGGAACACTGGAAAAGCAACTATTAAAAAATTTTCGACGAAACGAGAATGTACCATCATAAGTCTTCTTTACACATTTGACTACGTAGTGAAAGCTCAATTATTTTAGCACCTTTTGGTTTCGTTTCGTAGACATAAAAGGAAGCATGACGACCAGGTAGCGACAGAAATAGTGAATATAACAACTTTAATTGTTATTCTCATTGATCTTGATTGAAAGACTAACCTGAACCCGATTAGAAAACAATTAAAAATAGGACAGTCTCTCTTAATTGTCGATCAAGGATAAAAGTTTAGATTGGCCAAAAAAAACGGATCACTTGAGTTTCGGATAGTTCTTAAATTCCAAAGTAAACATGTACATTGAAACTAGTAACAAGGGACACGTGTACTTGAATGCAATACATTGACTAACCCAAAAATCTGTTTATGATGTGATCAACTTTAGTTGTCTTTGTTTTAACCAAAATAAAGTAATCGTAAGTATAAAGAATAAGAAAGAATAAAGAACAACGAATGACATTGACTTGTTCTTTATGATGAAAAATACAATAAATCAGTTAGAGTACGTCTTGAATTTATACGATAGAAAAAAAATTATATACTGAAATATAAATCTGCATAAAAATTACAAATTTGTTTTTATTTTTGATCAAAATAATTTATTGAACAAAATCTATTATTATGGATACATCGGATGCTGCAAAAAAAATAGATGCTCAAAAACATCATTCAGCTCAAAACGATGATGTATTTATTGATCGACTCAATCATAGATATACAGTAACAATGCTTTTAGTTTTTGCTACTATTGTTACAACTCAACAATATTATATGGCACCCATAAAATGCTGGGTAAAATATTTTACTTGATTTACGTATATTTTTTGTTTGATTTTAGATTTATTTTAGGTACCTGCACATTTTAAAGAGTATTATGAAAAATATGCTGATGATGTGTGTTGGATAATGAATACATATTATATTCCTTTGGATCATGATATTCCACATGCTGAAACAATAAGATATGAACGTAAATTTTTCTTTTTATCTATTCATTTTAAATTATTTTATGTTTTTCTGTGGAATTGCTAGAAACATTGAAATATTATCAATGGTCACCATTTATTCTTCTATTTATGGCATTCTGTTTTTATTTTCCACGTATGCTTTGGAGATCATTGAATGATAAATCTGGTTTAGATATTGAAAGATTAGTTGATGCATTATTAAAACTACAACAAGCTGATCAACATGCAGAACGAGAGAAAGCAATTGAGCATATTAAAAATTTAATAAGAGTCTATGTTGAAAATCGGTATCTTTCTCCAACACAATCTGATAATCATCCAAAAAAATTTTTTGAAAAATTTTATGATTCTCTAACATTCTGGCGTCATCGTCATTTAAGTTCATTTATAGTATTATTATTTACATTTGTTAAATTCTTATTTCTTTTTAATTCATTAGTACAAATATTTCTGTTAAATGCTTTTTTGGGTAATGATTATCATTTATTCGGTTTTGAAATGCTTGCAAAATTTATCCGTGGTCATGATTGGGGTGAATCAAAACGATTTCCACGTGTTACATTATGTGATTTTCATGTACGCGAAGTAGGTATTACACATCGATATACAGTTCAATGTGTTTTACCAATAAATTTATTTAATGAAAAAATTTTTCTTATTCTTTGGTTTTGGATTTTACTCTTAGCAGCTGTCAATATAGGTGATTTTATATCCTGGTTATCTCGTATTATATCTGTTAATAGTCGTTCAGCATATGTACGAAGAAAATTAGCCATTAATCGTGCAGCAATAAATGAACCTATTGATAAATCTATTAGTTTCGAACAAATCAAATTGGATGAAGAACATCGTAGTAAAGCTTTTGTTCGTGATTATTTACAAGAAGATGGTTGTTTTGTACTTCGTCTTCTTGCACGTAATGGACAAGATATTATTGTTGGTGAAATAATTGATAGATTATATAAACGTTTTTGTATAACTTATCATCGTTAGCATATCAATTTTGATTACGCAATAGTCTGACAGAAATCTAATAAGCATCATTCATCATTACCACCTGTTTTCCCA